TAATCCATCACCACACAAATGTACTTGTTTCCAGCACGAGTTTGGAGCAGAGGACCAGCAATGTCAACGGCTACTGTTTCCATTGGTGCGCCAACTTGATATAACTTCATTGGAGCACATTTTTGTATGACTAATGTTTCTGGATATTCAGGCAGAACTAAACAATATTTTAAATATCCAGATATATCATCTGCATGAAACTAGTGTCTCATAGGAATGGTCTTCCAGGGCCACATCCACTAGCAAATGGGGAAACAGAAGAGTTATTCTGCAAAGAAGACAATGAATTATCTTCTTAATCTAGTAATTATTTTCTTGTGGTACTTCAACATAAACTGCCTCATCTGATCACACAAGAATAGCTAGATAATTTGATTCATGACACGTCTCTATCAAAATAGCATGGGGAACTCCTTGGCTCTCATTTACAGCAATGGAATTTATTAGGTCCAGGAATGAGTTTCAATTGAATGAAGTCACCATCAAAGTCTTTCTACTCACTACTGCATGCAAGATATTTTGTGTTTCTGTTTTGGTATTGCTATTATATATTGTTTTTCAACATTCTTAAATGCAAGTTTTAGTGCATAAATAAAGTTTTTAAAGAAAAAGTTGTCAGAGTTTTAGATATATGGGCTGAAAATCTTTTACAGTAGGTTTCTGTGACTTGTTCATGATAAATTTCAACAATAAACAGACAGCACACAATCCACTTGTTTCAAAATAATATATTCAAAACAAGTCAACTGTATGTACAAAAATTCTTTACACTATAGGATATCACAGTTGTATGTAAGACTCTAAATAATTGTCTTTTCTTGTCAAAATTCCACACAAGCTGATTCAATTACTTTAGAATCCAATTGATGAGATGAATTGTTTTTCTCTACTCTGTTTTGTATTGTAAAAATTTGTGATAAATTCACTTATGTTACCCCTGCAGGTTACCACACAGACAGGTTCAATTACTTTAGAATACCCTTTGACAAGACAAATTATTTTCCTTATCTTTGTTAAACTCTGAAACTCACTTTCATATATTACCCATTATGGCTAAACTAACAATCACACAGTCTAACTTCAACTTTCACTAACTTAACTTGCACTCACTTGGTCGCCTATATACATATATATATATATATATACATTATCCATTTAAAGCATAGAACTTTCTACAAACTATGAGTCACTATGATGTAACAATACTCACTTAAGGCAAGGAGGAAAGTTTTGAGTAATGTAACATCAAATTACAATAATTGAACTACACATACAATATATGATTCTTGTCGAGTTACGCAAAGAAACCTTTCACAACCTTCGCCCTCAAAACAGTTAACCTCAACATTCTTGTTATGAAAATTAAATAATCATCAATTATTAGATCACCAAATGAACCAAATAACAACTCTAACACCAAACAGTCTTGTATATTCAACAAGCTGTTATTTTCATGATATATAAGAATATTTTGAATAAGTCTATCATAACTCAAAAGCTAGAGGTGATCAATAATTTTCAACAAGAGTTTTAGAATTGGCATTGTCAAATTACTCCAAAACAGTTGCATTTTTTTTAGTAGCAGAGAAAATGTATTTTTTGTTTTTGCTCAGTGTTATTAATCATAAAAGAAAATTGAACTTCCATGTAGACATTACACTGCCTCTGTCATTGTGATTTATTGGTACTGTATATGTTTCCATTTAGTTTCATGTAAATAACACATTGTTTCTGTCAGTATGCTTTATTTTCATTTTGTTCATTTCCACTATACTTATTAGTTAAAAATTTATTTTGACCAAAAGTATTGTTACCCAGCCTGACAGAGGTAATGGTGATGCTATTTTGAAAGGTGAGGTCCAAGTTCACTGATAAATCTTCATAAGTTTTTACCCTCTTTTTTTATTGCTTATAGTCAGAATTAGTGACTAATATAATTGGAGAAATAAAATATTTCAGAAGAAATATATTAATGAATACCAATTAATTTAAAAATACTGGTTATATAAAATGACATTTTTCTGATAAACAATAAAAATAGTTGAAATTCTAAGATGAAAAGAAGTATTTTTTAAAAACGGTGTTTCAACAGAACAAAATTTTGATAAATTTCCAAACTTTAAGAATGATAAAAATACTAAATCACATTATGTGAAATTTTTAAAGCCAAAACTAGAAACTATTTAGTAAGTTTGTCGTATGTAACTGAATTGTATGAATACTATTTCATGAAAGATCCAGAAAGTGTAGATGGAAATAAAAAACAATTTATTCATTTATCCTGAAGTCTTGATATGAATATCTGAATAGAACTAAATCTAATCTGTACAGGAATTGGACCTTATTTTGCCCTTGACAATGCCAGACTTCTCTGAAATTGACTCATCTCCGAAAGAAGGTATCAGGGTAACCTGGATTGGTCATGCTACAGTTTTAGTGCAGATTGAAGGAATAAACCTTCTGACAGATCCTATGTTCAGTGAACGAGCTTCTCCTAGTCAAGTGGTTGGGCCTAAAAGATATCGAGATGCACCATGTTCAATCAGTGACTTACCAACCATTCATGCTGTGATCATTAGTCACTCTCATTATGATCACTTGGACTTGAATTCAGTGACCCAATTAAACATCAGGTGAGTTGGGTTTCAACAGGTGTTGTTGAAGACTTTAAAATTACCTCAAAATATTGTAGTATTATTGATCATTATTTTCAAGTAAGGATGTTTATTTGCAGAAGCAACTTGATGTTGAATAACAACATGGATTATATTCAGAAGTTCTTTGTACTGTGTTTGGAATGATTGAAGTGATGTTTTCCTTTCTTATTACAGAATAGTATAATAAAAGTAGATTATATTTAAATTGTGATAAGATTCTAAGTATTAAGAAGTATTTGGTTCTTAACCTTTCATTCATTATGTATAATATGTATAAACTTAGATAAATACTTTCTGGTGTAAGAAGCATCAATAAACAGTTTTTTTCCCTTTACTTACTGTTTCTCATTAATAAAATACAACTTTCCCGACCTAAGTTATTTCTTTGCTTGTGCTAAATCATATTTGTCGATTATGGATGAAAAGTTTTTTTCAAGGGTGAAAGGGAATTGGGTAGAAATGAACAAGTTTTAATTGGAATTTGATCAAAATAGCCAAGTTCTTAGTCTACTGAACCACCAGCTTGCTGGTTCAACAAGAGATAGTTTGTCTTGTGTGTCAAGATTATGGGTTACTGGTAACTTAAAAAAAAAAAAGAAGAGAGAAATACACTTGGAATAAATATATAACCTTAGACAATAGTTTAGAACACACAAATAATCCCAACGTACATTTGATTTTTATGAGGAACCTGGTTACCTGAATCAATTTCTTTGCCAGTCTCTTAGCCATATACTTATTTGGTAAGCAAGATTTATTTAAATGAGAACTAAGAACCAGGTGATCAACTATTTGATGCCACCATCACACTAAACATAATCAATTATTTTATATTTCTCTTTTTCTAATCTCTTGCTCTTCAGATACACAATAATCTTGTTTCATGCCATTCATCTAAGACAAAATTCCAGGATTGTCATCAGGGAACTAGTTGCTATTTACTCATAGGTTTGTTTTTGAATTCTCTATAGAACCTTACTACAGTAATTGGACCTTAAAAGAAAACTGTAGTCCAGTGGCAAGGCAAGACCTTATTTTAAATTTATGACAGTATCAAGTTAACTAGTTAACAGCTAGTGCTTGTGTTTCCATTACTGTGATATACTCTATTATTTCTTTAATGTTACTTTTGTTAACCTTCTTGCTTACGGGTTTTCCTATGGTCAGGGATCAAAGTGCATGTCATCACGTTTGTAGACTTACATTCAAAATGTTATTGATCTACTATTTTATAAATGTATGCCAGTAAGTTTAGTATCACATTGTAGATTATAATTCAAATTTTATTATTATACATTAGATAATATTTCAATTTAAATGTAAATATTTAAACAAAATTCCTAAATATCGATTTTTGTGTGTCACATGGTATGTTGAATACAACTTTGGTTCAGATACAAAGTCTATAGTTTCTTATGAATTAGAAATTCAAATTACTGATATTGACAAGCTAGAATATAAAATAAGAACCTTCTATCTTTTCTATTTGCTGAGCTATCGTTATATTTAGCAAATCAAACATTTTTGGAAATACTTACTTACGTACACCTACTTCTGTCTATGATGTGTAAATAACCAAACGAAAGCTCAGAATGTCACCCACAAGGTTTTCTCAACCTCTAGAAGGTGGGAAGTTCCCAATATTGTTTCTTTTTCTTGAATCTCAGAAGGAAGGGGTAATTAAAAATGTTGTCTGAAAATGTTTATTTTTTTTACCTAAATACAGTTTAGTTAGTAAGCCTGGTAAATTACAGTGGAATTCTGTGATATTGATAGAGTAATTTATAATATTTGGTTATTTCAAAATGCATATATATGTATATATATAAAACCTGAACCAATTATTTTGTTTTACATCCTCCATGTGAGAAATTTGACAAGGCTTAGCAAATTATGGCAAGTGGGCAAACGAGTACAAAGTTGTAATTAGAAAAATATCGTTGTTTTCTATACTTCTTTATTTACTGTTCTATGTTTTAAGAAAAATAAGCAAAATTTAAGAACTTATTTGTAAATAGTAATAATATATATATATATATATATACATATGTAATGTATGTTATATCTAAAATTTGAGTGTATTTTATAAAATACAGGTCACTTTGTAAAGGCCAGTTTTATACTTTTAGATATGGTAATATGAGTGCATGTGCACCTCATCATTGCAACGTCTGTAATGTTAGTTAGACAAGAGCAATAAAATTATATAGATGTATAATGTTATGAGATTTATGCTAAACATTTGTTGTTTCTTATTATAATTTGTAATCATTCTAGAACGAAAAAAGCATAACTTGTATCTATTTCTGAATTTTTTATGTTGGTTACAAGGTTGGTCAACTTGACCAAACCCATACAGAGATACGATAGTGAAAATAACAGATGAGATATAAAGTTTCTTTCTGAACAAAACATTTGATAATTATCGGGAGGTTATTAGGAGGCTATAAAGATTTTGCATGTGAAATTTGACATTTTTCTGATGCAAAAAAATATTTTTCATATTAAAATCAAAATTACTTTGCATGTTGGATAGTCAATATTTGAAAAGAAAAAAATGCATGAGCAAATCATTACAAGTAAGAACGTAACAAAAAAAATATTTGATCAGCCATACTTTTTACCAGGTTGATGTTTAGTTTTTTTCTAGGTAGGTAGCATGCTGTGGTCAGAAGTTAATATTAAGTTTCATCAACGGTCAGCAGTAAAAAAAAATGACCCATATAAGAACTATATTTCTTGTTTTCATGTGTATTCTTTATTTATTAGTATAAAAGTAACTAAAATGTAAAAATTAGAAACTGTTTAAGTTAGATTAGGTAAGATAAGGAAAAATGAGAAAAATAAAAATTATTCACGAGGTATGCTCCGGAGCGGCTTGTGTGTTATGTAATTTAATACAGTAGTGTAAGCTGCTTGTTCACTGAGTGATTTACAACTTGTATGGCTGGATTATTGGTTAGACATGGTTCAAAAGTCAATAAAACAATAAAATTAAGTATAAATAGATGTATATTGTTATGAGCTTTAAGCTGATTAGAATAAAGCTGCAGTCATCCAAGAAAGAAAAAAAGTTTAACTTAGATTTGTTTACTAATTGTTTTATGGTAATTATGAGGTCAGTCAAATCGACTGACTCTGTATAGAATTAGGGTAGAGAAAATAACAGATAAAATATAAAGTTTTTCTGAAAAAACATTTTATATTTATTTAGGAGGTTTTAGAGATTATGCAAATGAAATTTGACAATTTTCAGATGAAATTCTTAATTTAAAAGTAAATATAAAAAAAAAAGATCCTAAATACCAATTTTTGTGTGTCACGTGGTATGTTGAATTCAGCATTGGTTCAAATTAGATGTTTGTGATGTCTAAATGCAAAGTTTGTACTTTCTTATGAATTAGATGCTTAAATTACTGACATTGACAAGCTAGAATTTAAAATAAAAACCTCCTATCTTTTCTATTTTCTGAAATATTAGTATATTTATTGAATCAACTATGGTGACCCCACCCACTATTTCAATTTTCGAAAATACCTGCTTATGTATGCCTACTTTGCACAATGATATGTATAACAAATTGAAAGCTTGGGATGTCCCCCTAGTGGTTATCTCAGCCTCTGCGAAGTATTTGGGTGGCAAAGTCTTTCTTTTCATGCTAGGTTCCAAGTGGTAAAGGTAGACATTAGTGAGCTCAAAAAATTAAAGTGGAATTCTGTGGTATTGATATAGTAATTTATGATTTTTTGATTACTTCAAAATTTATATATAAAACCTAAAACAAATTACTTCATTTCATGTCCTTCACATGCAAAATTTGATAAGGCTTAGCAACATACGGTAACCAGCAAATGAGTACAAAGTTCATAACTAGAAGAGATAATTGTTTGCTATACATTTTTATTTACTGTTCTATGTTATAAGAAACATAAGTTTAAGAACTTATTTGTAAATAGTAATAATATATATATATATATATATATAATGTATTATAACTGAAATGTGACTGTATTTTACA